TAAAAATTATTTTTTTATTTTGCACGAACAAAATAAATATATTAATAAATGTAAAAACAAAAAAAAAAAAAATTATATTTTAGAAGTTAGTTTTAATATAAAAATTATAATAACTAGCAACATCTAGTTTCAAAAATGTTACAATGCTGAAATGAGATATCTTGGGTCCACAGGTCAAGGTCATTAGGTCGCAACCTGAGATATGTCCAGAATACCAGGGAATAGGTTAACACCAAAATATATCATGTTAAATTACAAATTGCTCCCAAGGTCAAACAAAAATTCTTGGCAAAACTCATAAGGGAAAAAAGGAAGGCATTGGCATCGAATGAGCTATTTCTATATTTTGCACCTATGAGATTTTTGAAATGATGTGATCCATCAATGTTATATATAAAACTAGCTAAGCTATATATAGGCTAAGTTATATATAAACAAGCTGCAATTTTTCATAAAATGTTATTAATTCAAATTATTATCAAACTATTTTGGTAAATGCTGTAAGTAATCTAATTGGCTAGCTTGAATAATAATTTTGTTCTTTCACCAAGCTATCTAGTACAACTAGCATTTCAGACTGTCAAAACTGGATCCAGTAGTTCTAGTAGAAATTAAACTTAAGCAAGCTGATTATTAATTTTCTAGTTAAAATCTGCACATTTATAGTATAATGATAAAAACAAATAAAAATACTAATTTTTCAATCTTCAATTCAATAGCTATTCTGAAGTAATTTAATACAATTATCCACTAAAAATATTTCAAAATATAAAAGCAAAAGATTTGTTAAGTATGCATTATTAAAATAAGATATTTTAAGTTTTAAAAGATGAAGTAATGCCATTGTTATGTAAACTCAAACATATCAAATCTTTATCTTTTCATATAAGCACCTAATACAGGGGTGGCCAACAGTTTTTGTCCCCGGGCCGAATTCGAAAGAAAACTTTTTTCACGGGCTGAACCAGAGGCTGCCCTAGAAAGATTTTGAGGTGGTGCAAGATCTCATTGTGGTGTCACCCTGTAGAGACTAAATTGTACATAGAGATTACATATACATTTTTCACATTATCATACATTATCAACATTCTATGCTGTACTTAAGAGATTTGTAATGGAGGGTTAACTCTAAATACACAGTGAGTTGTTGACTTTTTCTTTTAGGCATCAGAATTTTTCATCAAGCTATTCGAACTTCAGTAGCTAAAGTTGAAAGATTAATCACGGGCTGCATAAATTCATTATATGGGCCAGATCCGGCCCGCAGGCCATATGTTGGCCATGCCTGACCTAATATATAATACCATACTAAGAGTCAAGTTTTGCCCAGAAAATGTAATGAAGCTACTGTAACAAGCATTAGTGACTCAAAATAAACACTGCAGGACTGTAGCACCCTCAACTAAAAATATAAAATTATAAAAAATGTCTCGATTTTAGTAATTTAGATATAGCCATTCACATGGTATCAATACATAGGCTGCAAGTGTAGGAGTCGCCCCCAGCTGGCATCATAAGTAACTGTGAATGGCTATATCTAAATTTAAATATGTCTGAAGCAAAACTTGCTCAGGGTCTGGATGGCATAACGGCAAGTGCACCACACAGTAAGCAGAGGTTGTGGGTTCAAGTCCTGTTCCACACTAGTTCTTTTCTTCCAGAATGTTCTAAATTATTTAATAAATTATTAGAATTATTAATTTAGATAAGAGACTGCACCTTACATCCACCTCTAGTACCAAATTACTTAGTTTNGTTCTTTTCTTCCAGAATGTTCTAAATTATTTAATAAATTATTAGAATTATTAATTTAGATAAGAGACTGCACCTTACATCCACCTCTAGTACCAAATTACTTAGTTTCTAATTATTAATTTTAGCATAATAATAGCCTGATTAATTACAGTGAGTTTGGATTAGCACATGAAAATTTCAAGATAATAAATAAATAACCAATAAACTCACTGTATAAGACTTCTTGTAAACAAACAGAAAACTGAAAGTATGAATAGATTAACTAACATTCTATACTAATCAAAACAAGAGCATATGACTTTGGCAAATATATGCAAGCCAAATGTGTGATATCTCAAAAAATCATTGAAAATTCTATTGTATACTTCACTATATCTTACATAACAACATCTGACATTCAAAGTCATTCATTGTAAAGTTTTTCTATGAAACATTTCTTGTTCCACTAATTGTTTTGGCCAAAACAGTAGTGCCTTTTATTTCAAATTTAATTTGTTTCAGGAGGCCATTCAAACTCTGAATTGTTTGGAGTCCAAATCAGTTTTTCCATCATAAATAACAGAAAGTGAATTAATCCATTCACAAACATTAAACAATACCCATTTTGATAAACTCTAACAGCAAATACACTTAATTTAAGATAACAATAACACAGTTAAATACCCTAAATAATAAATTCAAAAATGAAAACAACAAATAAAACATGTAAATACTGTATAATGAAAATTGCATAGTAAATGCAATTTTCATTACACCCATTGACTTCGGTATCTTAAACATAGCCACCAAATCCGCCACAAGTGTACTGCTTTCATGCTTTGCAATAACTTCCTTTTTCACCTCAATCATAAATACAACAATCTTTCATAGCTTCCATACTCTTCTTGGATGCCATGGTTAATATATAACCAAACCCACTAAAAATAAAGCAAAAAAAGCACTGCATAACACAAGAGATGCTTTCACA